TTGACAAAATTCAACACCCATTTATGACTAAAAAAAAACTCTACAGAAAGCAAGCATAGAAGGAATGTATCTCAACATAATAAAAGCCATATATGATAAACCCACAGGAAACATTATCTTCAATGGCGAAAAATTGAAAGCTTTCCCCCTTAAGTCAGCAACAAGACAAGGGTGCCCACTCTCACCACTACTATTCAACATAGTTTTGGAAGGCTTAGCAACAGCAATCAGAGAAGAAAAAGAAATAAAAGGAATCCAGATGGGAAAAAAAGAAGTAAAACTCTCACTGGTTGCAGATGACATGATCCTCTACATAGAAAATCCTAAAGACTCTGCCAGAAAATTACTAGAGCTAATCAAAGAATATAGTAAAGTTGCAGGATATACAATTAATACACAGAAATCCCTTACATTCCTATACACTAACAATGAGATAACAGAAAGAGAAATTAAGGAAACAATTCCATTCACCACTGCAATGAAAAGAATAAAGCATTTAGGAATAAATCTACCTAAAGAAACAAAAGACCTAAATATAGAAAACTATAAAACACTGGTGAAAGAAATCAAAGCTGACACAAATAGATGGAGAAATATACCATGTTCATGGATCAGAAGAATGAATGTAGTGAAAATGAATATACTACCCAAAGCAATCAATAGATTCAATGCAGTCCCTGTCAAGCTACCAATAGTATTTTCCACAGAACTAGAACAAATAATTTCACAGTTTCTATGGAAATACAAAAAACCTTGAATAGTCAAAGCAATCTCAAGAAAGAAGAATGAACTGGAGGAATCAACCTGCCTGACTTCAGGCTCTACTACAAAGCTACAGTCACCAAGACAGTATGGTCCTGGCAGAAAGACAGAAATATAGATCAATGGAACAAAACAGAAAGCCCAGAGATAAATCCACACACCTATGGACACCCTATCTTTGACAAAGGAGGCAAGAATATACAATGGAGAAAGGACAACCTCTTTAACAAGTGGTGCTGGGAAAACTGATCAACCACTTGTAAAAGAATGAAAGTAGAACACTTTCTAACACCATACACAAAAATAAACTCAAAATGAACTAAAGATCTAAATATAAGACCAGAAACTATAAAACTCCTAGAGGAAAACATAGGCAAAACACTCTCCGACATAAATCACAGCAGGATCCTCTATGACCCACCTCCTAGAGTATTGAAAATAAAAGCAAAAATATACAAATGGGGCCTAATTAAACTTAAAAGCTTTTGCACAACAAAGGAAACTATAAGCAAGGTGAAAAGACAGCCTTAAGAATGGGAGAAAATAGTAGCAAATGAAGCAACTGACAAAGAATTAATCTCAAAAATATACAAGCAGCTCATGTAGCTCAGCTCCAGAAAAATAAACAACCTAATCAAAAAATGGGCCAAAGTACTAAACAGACATTTCTCCAAAGAAGACATACAGATGGCTAACGAACACATGAAAAGATGCTCAACATCACTCATTATCAGAGAAATGCAAATCAAAACCACAGTGAGGTACCATGTCACGTCGGTCAGAATGGCTGCTATCCAAGAGTCTACAAGCAATAAATGCTGGAGAGGGTGTGGAGAAAAGGGAACCCTCTTACACTGTTGGTGGGAATGCAAACTAGTACAGCCACTATGGAGAACAATGTGGAGATTCCTTTAAAAACTGGAAATAGAACTGCCATATGACCCAGCAATCCCAGTTCTGGGCATTCACACTGAGGAAGCCAGAATTGAAAGAGACACATGTACCCCAATGTTCACTGCAGCACTGTTTATAATTGCCAGAACATGGAAGCAACCTAGATGTCCATTGGCAGATGAATGGATAAGAAAGCTGTTGTACATACACACAATGGAATATTATTCAGCTATTAAAAAGAATGCATTTGAATCAGTTCTAATGAGGTGGATGAAACTAGAGCCTATTATACAGAGTGAAGTAACTCAAAAAGAAATACAGCAATACAGTATATTAATGCATATATATGTATTTTAGAAAGATGGTAATGATGACCCTGTTTGTGAGACAGCAAAAGAGATACAGATATAAAGAACAGACTTTTGGACTCTGTGGGAGAAGGTGAGGGTGGGATGATTGGAGAGAATAGCATTGAAACATGTATATTACCTTATGTGAAATAGATCACTGGTCCAAATTCCATGCTTGAAAAAGGGCACTCAAACTCAGTCACTGGGACAACCCTGAGGGATGGGGTGAGGAGGGAGGTGGGAGGGGGGTTCAGGATGGGGAACACATGTACACCCATGGCTGATTCATTTCAATGTATGGTAGAAATCACTATGATATTGTGAAGTAATTAGCCTCCAATTAAAATAAATAAATAAATTTTAAAAAATAAAAAGAGGAGGCCTTCTATTTTTCTTTGAAGAATGGAAATACTTCAATTGTATTTAAATAAATGAGGTCATAATGCTATTAAATTTGGAGGGTGGAGGGCCATATTTGAATGGTAAAAGGAAGTAATCAAGCACTTATGCTATCTTTCCTATATTAGCCATGTCTTAGAGTAACTACATAATTGTTGAGAAAAAATTTTATATGGAAAGAATAGGTTGAATAATAAATAAAAAATGAATGACAAAATCATAGTAACACTATTTTGAAAGTACTACTAAGTCAATGGATCCAAAACGGTCAGCAACAGCTGCTAACTCAAAAGGAGAAACAACCAGATATCATGTGCTTCCTAACAACACATGCAGAGTAACTTTGTCAAAAAAAAGCGAACCAAGATGACATTAAACTTCTAGATACAGATACCAATTAACTGGAAATAGAACAAAGGAACAAGTTAAAAGAAACCATTAGGAGGCAATCAGCAAACCCCCCAAACTCAGGACACTATACTGAGCAGTTCTTATCCATAAAATAGAGAGAGAGGACTATAGATTAGGGAAGGTTTAAGAGATATGTGAACTAATTGCAATTTATAAACTTCGTTACAATTCTGATTTCAACTAGTAAAGTGTATGGGGGAGGGACCCATAAAACAATGAGGACTATTTGAACACTGGACATTAATATACAGAATTATTTTATGTTGCTTTTAGGTGGAATAATAGCATAGTTCTTTTATTTTTTTATCCTTTCTATAGACATGACAAAATATTTAGAGTTGAAATTATGTCTGAGATTTGCTTTGAAATAATCTGAGTTGTGGGGAAACACAGAGTGAAACTTGCAAATTGTTTCAAGTGGATGATTCTCTACTTTTGTACAAGTTTATAATTTTCCATATAAAAAATTATAAAGACAAAGAGTAGAATGCCTCCTGTTGTTAAGGCTAGGCATAAAGAAATGACATAGACACAGAAAAATTCAAACATCAGGGTTACTTAAGAAAGAACAACAAATATTAGAGAAAAACTTGTGACTTTAAGTCAGTTGCAATAAATTATTTCCTTTATGCACTATACTAAGAACATCAGGATCAACTGGAAAACACAGTATTTACTAAAGAAAGGGGAGAACACAGCACCACCCCAGATACAACAGTCATTTAGTCTACAAGGCAAACCATGGGCTCATGAAAACCTGTGATATCTGTACAGAAGCTATTTGCCTAATAGCCTTGTATTGACAACGACTGTCCAATTAACATCTTCACTACACTTATTACACACACGAGAAATCTATGAAGGATCTTAAGAGACCTTTAGTGACAAACAGGAAGGAGCCTGTACATCTCTTAGGGGTTTCTCGCAGGTAACTATAGCTAGCTTGGAACAAAAGTGATCCTAAAATGGCACTGATATGAAAGCTCTTCGTTCAATGCCACGTTTAAATGCCCCCGTCTCCAAAACGTAAAATAAATCTGCTTTCATCCTCTGAAATCTTATGGGACTGGAAAGTATCTTTGTATTACTGGAAAAAAACGCCAGTATTCTAGTTGATTTGGGAGAAGGCTGTTCTGCTCACAGAAAGATGCTGTATCTCAGAAACACTTAAGATACTATGCAGACGGAAATAGGGGGAAAATGCGCCCCCCCCCCATTTGAAGTTCTCCTTTCTTAGCCTCATTTCCGACAATATTTTAACATCTGAAGTTATCTGACCATCCTTAGAAGTGCAACTTATCCTCTCAAGGCACGAAAAAGTTGCCTAAGTCCGAGGAATGAGTCACTTTGCTTTGATGACTAATCTCAGGTGTCCTGGATCCTCGATCCGAAGAAAGAGGGGAGGGGGCGTCAGATATGCAGACGGAAGACAGGCCGCTGCGTATTGGATGGCAAGAACTCGGTATTCCTATAATTGCGTCATTTCGAACCCAATTGGGTACAGATGTTATGCGCACCGACGGATTACCGTCTCGGAAACTCTCAATCACACGCAAGCGAAAGGAGAGGAGGCGGTTAATTAAATATTGAGCAGAAAGTCGCGTGGGGAGCGTGTCACGTGGGCCCCGAGCCTCGGCGAGCCTGGGATAAATACCGCGCGGCAGCCAGCCGGCAAAAGAGCGCGCTGCTGACCTCCTCCACGTTGCTGCAACCGAGAGTGCGCAGCGCCCCGCGAGCGCTCAGACCGGCAGAGGAACCCCCCGGGCGGGTCAGCCGCGGTAAGTGCCCGCGCGCTGTAGTGCGCGCTTTCCGCCCGGCGCACCGCTCCGAGGCGGCGTCTAGCAGGGCTGGATGGGCGGCTGCTGCGGACAGCGGGGAAACAGCCGGGGGACCGCGAGGAAACGGGTATCCCAAGTGTTCTGTCCCTCCTTGTCTTCCACCCGCAGAGCCTCCTGGCTTGAAGGTATGGCTTGGTGGTTGGAAGCTGGGGATTTGGGGGTCTAGGAAGAAGGGAATTTGAGAAGATTTTAGGGCTTGATTTTCTTTCCTTAACGTGCACATGCAGGACTTTCGCCCTTTAGGCGGCTTGTCTTGTTTCAATCGGCCCTGAGTTCTGTCATGGGATCAAAAATTCTTTTTTTTCTCCCCTCTGCCTCTTCTCCCTACCCTTCCCAGAAATCCAACATGAAAATCCTAGTGGCCTTGGCAGTGATTTTTCTTGTCTCCACTCAACTATCTGCAGAAGAAATCGGAGCCAACGATGATCTCAATTATTGGTCCGACTGGTCCGACAGCGACCAGATCAAGGTGAGACCCGGTCCCTAGTTGGCCTGCGCCCTTCTTCACGGGTTTAGGAGCTGTCACTTACCACCATCCCACCATCAGTCCCAGCGACAGCACCCTAGTTACCCTAGCGGGCTCCGAGATCACAACCAGAGGCAGTGGGGCGCGCTGCGAGGGCTTGTAAAGGAACGTCATTCCCCTGGGTCCCGCAACCAAGAACCAAGTTTCCTCTGCATCATCTGGTCTCCGGAACTCTCTGGAGGAATAATACCCTCCCTAAGGATCCCGGGATCCTCACAAGACTGGAAACCAAACAAGGTTTCATCCCCTGGTAACGCGGATTTCGGGGGACTAGTCCCGCTGCAAGGGCCTGGCGTTTGGAAACGCTGGGCAGGGACAGAGGAGAGCGCGTCCGACGCAGGCAAAAGCAGGGGCAAGTGGCCAGTTGCTGGGGGCCTGGAGAGGCGCAGGTGGGTGGGAAGCTAACTTCCGGCCTTGACTTTTATTTTACTGACCTGAAGACACAGCCGCAAGTTTTCCTTTAGATTGCTCGCAGGCTGTTTGCGCGAGGGACCCACATGCAGCAGGAACAGTGAGGATCACTCACTGCTAGTCGCTTGTAAAGCGCTGTCCCCTTACCTACCACCCCCGGCCAGTCCATCCCCTCCCCCGCCACACACACCTGTTTGCATTTAGGGCGTTGATAGGTCGCCGAAGCCAGCGCTTAAGATGAGACAAAGTCCGGTAGCTGAGCGGCAGCTGAGTGAGGGTCCGGGTGCTGGGAGCAAAGAACCGAAAGCCGGGCGTGGAGGCACTGCGCGCCGGGCTACTGGCAAGGCCATGCTAGCCGGAGGCGGTGCAGGACACCGCCTGGGAGGGAAGGGGTGGGGAGAGGGAGCGCCCAGGCTTGAGGAAGCTCGGCTTCCTCTCTCCTCGGAGCTGGTGCTCTACTCCTGGCCTGGCCCCACCGCCAGGATTTGCCCAAGGCTGGAACGCACTCCGGATTCCCAGTGCCTCGAACTGGTTGCCTTCAAGCCCGTTAGTCCGTGTGTTTTTGCTCTAGGAGGAAATGCCCGAACCTTTTGAGCATCTTCTGCAGAGAATCGCCCGGAGACCCAAGCCTCAACAGTTCTTCGGATTGATGGGCAAACGGGATGCTGGTGAGATGGGCAGCCGTCCCTCCCTGTCTCTCTGGGCAACCCACACACATACACTCCCCCCCCCCCCCGCCCCACGTCTGTTAGCTCGTGCTCCGAGCACCCCGTCGCTCTTGCTCTATGAGCAGAGAGTTACACTCTCAAAGGGGTATATCTCCTGCGGCGCGACGTTCGCCCTCACCTCACTGACACACAGGTGCCCACGGAGGGAGGGAGATCCATCTGAACCGCCAAGGACAGGAAGCAGCCTTAGCTAGGTGCTTCCTTGCCCGAGGATCCAAACTGGCAAGCAACAGGAAGAGTCGGGGTACTCGGCAGGTTCTCAGTGCTGGTGGAAACTGACCTTGGATCACTGGGGTTATAGTAGATTCAGCTGCCAGTGTCTTCTGATAGAACAGTCATTTCCTTGAATTCATCACACCATCAGTGGAATGTGTGGTTAACGTCAATTTGTCTCTTGTCAGATTCCTCAATTGAAAAGCAAGTGGCCCTGTTAAAGGCCCTTTATGGTAAACATTTCTATAAATCTTTATTTTACTATTGTGAATGCACATGTGTGAAAAGGAAGAAAGCCTTTTGTGGACTCAAATACAGATTCTTGATAATGCCTGTTGAATTGAAGAGATGTGTTTACTCTCTCTCTCCTGAGAATCAGAGGTGATGGACCATGAATACATGTCTCTCATAAGGAAACGAGAGACGTGGTATGTCCAGGCAATTAGCAGACCTCAGAAGTCTCACAGACCTCAGTTTGAATTTGTGGCCCATGTAAACCAATTAAAACTATTCCTTTTGCTAAAACGTTGCTTTTATTATTAATAATTTGGTTAGCATTTATGGTTCTGCTATATTCCTCAGGATAGTACATGAATGAGAAATATTGAATTATTTTAAAAAATCAATTTGCTTTATAATTCTCTTTAAAAATGTAGCTCCTTTTAAACAAATCTATTTTTTGCTAATGTTATCTTTCTTTCTATAGGACATGGACAGCTTTCTCACAAAAGTAAGTTCCAAACTATTTTGACATTTATCAAATGCAAATATAAATTATATTGAATTCCATTTTATATAATATCTAATTTTCTGTTGTAATGTAGAACTTGATCTTTTTAATTAACATGATTTAAGACTAGAGGAGACTCATATTACATCCAGAACATAATTGTTTAAAGTTCTGTTGTTTAAACATATCATACCTACCATAAAGATGCATTATATTAAAAATCTTTTAGCTCCCAGCTAAACTGTTGTTGAATTCCTGACCCACAGAAACTGAGATAATAAATATTTGTTGTTATTTTAAACTGCTAAAGAAAGAAAACAGGAGGGAAAAAAGGGAAGGAAAGAGGAATCCTTTAATTCATATAAATTGTTAGTTTTAGGTAAGAATCTCAATAGTAGGGGTAAAAATCCATCACACATTCCTCTTCCCTCATTTTCACCCTGCCACTTCCACTGCAAAAACAAAAGCAAAAACAAAAATTGAGGCATTTATAGGCACCTCTGAGTTCATTTTAGTATGTTGGATTCCATGCTGACATAATTTATTAGTGTACTCCAGCAGTCAGTTACAATGAAGTGAATGTCTGCGTAGAGAATCCATACTAAAGTAAAGATAGAAATGTATCAATAGTTTTGTGATCCCATGATGGGATGGGAGACCTGTCTTTCCAAGCATAGTGAAACATTCTTAGGGCAGCAAAGATGGCAGAATTGTGGCACTTGACAGTCACTAGATCACAGCCTCCTCCTTAATGGAACCAGAGTTGCAGAAAGTCCCAGGGATCCATCTTAATCACACTCACTTAGCCCAAGGTCCAGTCCAACTTGGATTCTGGCTCATCAAGGGCAGAGCAGGCCACACTAAGATAGCAGCCATGTAGTATAGACCAAGCTAATGTAGTATAAACCAAGAGACATTCTACTACTACAGTTAAAATAATAATCCTTTCCAAAGATTTCATCTTTGAAAATAAATAAATTTCATTCATATTTATTTTCTCAGGATTTTACCTTCAAAGGAATTATATATAGCAAAATTCTATGTGATGAAAATAAATGTACTGTTAATTCAAAACATACTTTTTCCAAAGGAAATATTTTAATCCAGTAAAATAGAAATAATGACCTTTAGAAGTTTATAATTATTAAGTATAGGACTCTGATTTAACTAAACTTTAGTTTCCTGAGAAATATATTCAGTAATATGAGGATATGTCTATCACACATATGTGAAGTTGACTTCCTGAAAATCAAAGCTTGCTCAAATAGCGACAATATTTAAAGCATTACATAAAACACATAAAATATGAATAAAGTGTACTTGCTAATATTTAGATATAGAATTGAGAAAAGTGCCTTCATTGTATTATTTTATTTACTAAGACTTCCTAGGAGTCTTTATTTCTTCAGGCTCACCAAAACTTGAAATAGTTATGCATTTATTATACAGGCATATATTTGGAAGCTTGCTTTTCTTGCTACTAGTTATAACAGTTTATTTCCTCAGATATATACATATTAAAATACCCCTAAATGTATTTTTCCAGGGCATAAAACAGATTCCTTTGTTGGACTAATGGGCAAAAGAGCTTTAAATTCTGGTATGTATAAAACCATGACTGGACATAAACAGTATCTTAAATCTACTTCTACTTTCTCTAAGGCATTCTTTTCAAACTATTAAACAGGAATAATAAAATTAAAATGAGTACTTATGTTGAAAAAATCTAATTGCAATAAATAAATCCAAGAATGGATTTATAGCTGATTGAGTGAGCTAATACCACAACGTCAGTCTCTTTCTCAAACTCCCAGTGTCTTCCCCTTTTAATCATTACCTAACCTGAATCTTTGAGCTAGTCCAGTACCCTTTCCCTTATATCTGTTCGATAAGCTACACTTTACCTTACTGAACTAAGAGGGGTGGGGAAGGTGGAGGAGGGGATTAAAACCAAGCTAATTAGAAAGTCTTAAAAAAGGTTAAATCTGACAGTCTTCTAACACAGAAATAAACAAAAACAAATCCATTTTTACAAATCACTTGCTCTTTATGAAATTATAATAGCTCATACTCTATACCTCCTGATGAATGTTTAACACTAGGAGAGTAACATAGTCCATTCCAGTGCCTTAAAAAGGGAAACCATCAAATTATCCTAGAGGGTTATAATCAGTCCTGGCTATAAAACCCTTAAAGAGAAGGAGTGCTACAGTTCTCTTCATAACACAGTTTAATTCTGAACAATTGTTATATTTATAAAGGCTGCATATTTCCTTTCTTTTCTTTAATTTCTATATTGTATGTAAATGCCACATGTATAGATCTGAAAACTCATTTCTTAACTTATTCATCATAGTATTTTCAAGGTTAAATAACCCCTATATCATTTTCCTAGAGACTGATATTCTGTTAAGCTCATTCAGGTCTTATAATCCATAGGTTATTTTTCTTGGGAAAGCTATTCAAATTCTCTTTTTACCATCAGTGAAATTAGAATTAAAATACTAATCATGTAATTAATTAGGAATTAATCATCACCCATCTTACCCATTTAGAGTATTTCCAGTTTCCTGAAAATCTATGACTAAGATGTGCTGACTTAACTAATCTGAAAAAGTCAAGCAAAAATGAGGTATTTTAGCCTATATATTGGTTCTCTATCTTCTAAATTTAGATACTACTTCAGTAATTTGGAGGGTTCTCAGTTTTAAAGGCGTTGTGAGTATACATAATGAAACACTAAAATTGTTTTATTGCTAAGTATTATCTTCCAGCTTTTGGAAATGGAATATAAGTTTAAACCACATTGGTGTTATATGTATCAGAAGTGTACACTAGCCCTTATATACCTGTGGTTTTCTTGAAACCATGCCAGTCATCAACTTTTCATTTTCAGAACTGATACAGGTTTCAGAACATGATTAACTTTACAAATAATATGTGCAATTTGGAACAAATTAGATGCTATTAAAGGTACTTAAAATAGTAATATAATTATAGATAGTATTAAATAGAATCATTGTATGAATCACAATCAATCTATGACTAAATCTTTGCTCCTCCATTTTAGTTAAGAAAATATCAAAGGAAAACATGGGCAAACATGTAATCTATAACCAATCAGGTACCTTGGCATATAATTAGTTGAGGCAAGGTCATCGTAGTGTCTATGACCTTCTACAGCCATCTGATCCTTACTCTGTTGTGGCAAAGACCTTTGACAATCTGACAAACCTAGAAACTGCCTTCCCAGGGAAACCCTCATCAGTTCACACACACAAACATTTATGGTTTTAGAGGGTTCAAGGACCACGTAAGAACTTTGCTTCCAATTAAGACATTGTTTTATGGCTTGATCACTAATCTGTCTTTGGTCAGTTTACATTAGCATTCACCTCCCTTCTCTGAGGAATAGAATTATATTACGAACGCTTGTCTGCTTTGTACGTGTTTGACATGTACACTATTAAAAACATTCAGCTTATTGCTGACCTCACTTAAGTAAATGCTGTACACCAAGGAGCATCTGCTCAGTGGTAAAGATGGGAAGCCTTTATCTACCTTCTCTTTCAGTAAACCCTTCTCACTGAGAAAATCGCTTACAGTGGCATCTATGATTCCTGATGTCTTTCACAGTTCTTTCTATTTCAAGTATTTTCTACATGCATACTGAATTTTTAAAAGTGCAGTCATTTAAAAAATCATTTATCATGTAAATCTAAGTGTATAAAGTATTAGCTAAAATAATGAAAAATGGACATAAGTATTTTAATCACAACAATCTGATCCTTATTCTTTTGTGGCTACAGACCTCTTTGAAATTATGTTTCATATAATAATATAATTTGGTGCTTTTTTCTTTCCAGATAGTCAAAGTACTTAAATTACTTGCTAGCTCTATGTTAAATACCTTTGGAAATAGTGATTAATCTTTCACAGGCCATTTAAGGTGCTAGGAGATAAGTTAAACTATGTTGTATTTAGATGGTACAATTACCCTACTTACAGACAATGAGATTGTTTATAGTCTCATGGACAGTCTGTCATTGGAAGGAATCCAGAGGACAGGAAGAAACCTTCACACTATTAGGTACCCCTGTCCTGGTGCCTCAGTGCTAAAGAATCTGCCTCCAATGCAGGAAACATGAGTTCTACCCCTGGGTCAGGAAAATCCCCCAGCAAAGGAAATGGAAACCCACTCCAGTATTCTTGCTGGAGAAATCCCATAGACAGAGGAGCCTGGCAGGCCATAGTCCATTAAGTCACAAGAATGAGACAGAACTTAACAACTAAACCACCACCACCACATACCAGAAATCAGCAAACTTTTTCTGTAAACAGTCAGGTGGTAAATATTTTAGACTGTGTGAACCATGCAGTCTCTGGAGCAACTACTCAAATCTGCCATTTTAATGTTAAAGTAGGCAAAGACACCTGGAGAAGGGAATGGCTACCCACTCCAGTATTCTTGCCTAGAGAACTCCATGGGCAGAGGAGCTTAGTGGGCTACAGTGCATGGGGTCGCAGCAAGTCAGACATGACTGAGCAACTAACACTTAACTAACTTAGGCAAAGACAATGCATAAATGAATGGGTGTGGCCATCCCCCAATAAAATGTTATTGACAAGAAAAGATGGTGGACTGGATTTGGCCCATGACCTATATATAGTTGGTTGACTATATCCTGGAATAAAAGTCCCACATTTTGCTTTCATCCTCCTACTATTCCTCTTTACTTTAGGAACTGTCCTTTCTGTAAATCAGCAAGGTGTCTGTCACTGCTTGAGAAAGCTATGGAGAATCAATATTGCAATATATTGTGGAAGTACACTTTGAGGGCATCAAGTCAAGGATGACCAAAATAACCAAGAATTCTGTGGATAGATCACTGTCAATCAGGATAAAGACTGAGATCCAAACAGAAGATGCACAAATAAGACTCTTAGAAATACTTCAATGGAGGGATAAAGTAATGAGTTTAAAATAAATTTCCTATGCCTTGAACTTTATCTGTGTCAGTGACCCTCTTAACAAACCCTTTATCTTCTCTTTGTTCTCAGTGGCTTATGAAAGGAGTGTGATGCAGGATTATGAAAGAAGACGTAAATAGACTACCTAACATATTTATTGAGCTTCATTTGTGTCAGTGGTCAAGGAAAGGTAAAATGAGACATGCACTATGAGGAATAATTATTTATTTAATAATTGTTGTTTGAGTTTAAAACTCAAAAAGTATTTATTTTTCATATTGTGGCAATATATGTTGTAAAAAAATATGTTGTAATTCTAATATGACAATTCAGTCAGAAGCAGAAATCAGTGGTAATTTCTCAACAAAGCACAGTGTTCAATGAAGTTGTAAAAACCTATCAAAGATATAGTTTCCAAAGAAAGGAATCATTTCTGTTTCTTGGAAGCAGTCACATCAGCTACTACTAAGGAAATGAAATTCACATATAGGCTGTGCTTCTCCATTTGTTTTCATGGTGAAAATGTGCTGAGAGTTGGTATCAAACTGTGTTGGTATCCCTGCAGCATGTTTCATGTTTTGTGACTACATAGAGATGTTTAAAAAGTTTTACTGTGATTCTAAGATCTTTATTTTATTGTACAATGTGTCGTGATGGTTAACATTTTAAATAAAAAAAAAAGTATCTTAAATTGGGTCTTATTCTTTCATTAATCTTTATGTCTAGTTGGCAGCCTTTCTTTTAGTGGGTGAGATATGTTCCAACCTGTTTTGGCTTTAAAATAATAAAACATAAAGCTACTAAATTTCTCTTTCTTAAGGAAAATGACTAAATGTGATCACAGTTTCTCTTTCCCACACATATGCACTTGTTATTGTTCAGTCATTGACATAGGATCATTCATGGAGAAAACAATTACATTCTGGTACCCAAAGAGTACAGGCTCAGTTCTGTTTACATGTGCTTATGATTCCCTTTTACAAGTAGAGCAACAATCTACTTTAAAGATGCATTTTACTGATTATTTCCTTCTTGAGCAGAACATCAGCACAGCACTATTTCAGCCCTCCTTAAAGCCCAGGGAGAAGTGCACCAGTGTTGGAGTCTCACGAGAACTAAGACACTAACCCAAACTCTCACAAAGGTCACTGGAACATGCAGAAAGATAGGGAGCTGATAATATGGCATCGCCCCCATAACAAAGATAGATACAGCCCCTCTCTTACATTTCTAAGAACTGCCTGTGAATTACTAGTGCCAATAACACTCCAGCAGAAGCACATGTATCAGAAATACTGAGCAATCAGAGGAAAGCTCTTGTGTGTATATTTAAGGAAAGGATTGCCAAGTGCCTTTCTGATTGCACAGTGTTAAATACTGGCAAGTGGTAAAATAACTCAGGACAAGCATTGCTCAGTGAAATAAAATTCTGTGAGTTTTTTCTGGACTAGTGACTGTTTTTGATCAATGTTAAAACCATTTGTGAGACATGAGTGCTAAAGCATGTTTTAACCTTTATATCTTTAAATGAATAATTTGTTCAAAAAAACTCCAATGAACTGATTTTCCTTACTACATTTTTTTTTTTTTAGTATTTGAGCTTACTACATATTTAAATAATACAGATTATATTATGATCATCACTTTACAATTGAGGATATGAAGCTCAAGGAAATGTTGAGGTAAGAGATTATGATATGAGAGGAGTCAGGATTAGAAAGGAATTACAAGGCCAAAATAGCAGAGCAAATTAATATCTAACAATGAGATTGATTAAACAAACTGGCATATTGACACAACTGAAAATTATGGCATCACTTAAAATGGCATTATTGTGTGTTCAGTGACATAGAACAACATATCTGGTATGTTGTTAGGCACACGGCAGTATTTCTGCATTGTATGTTCGCATATATTTTTGCATAGATGTTCTAACAGGAAGGAATCATGTAATGGATAAGACTGTGGGGTTCAGAGTCAAACTACTCCATCACTTAACAGCTGTGTGATGAGGGCAAGTCCGTTAACTTCTTCCTGCCTTATTTTCCTTGTTAGTAAAACTGGGCTCGTGATGCCACCAACTAGGATCTTGCACTCTACACAGACAGTAGCCATATGGCGTCTAGGGGAGGGTCACGGGACATGATGCGTGTCAGGCTTTGAGCATGATCTCCGGCATACTGTGAGCATTCTGTGAATGTTATCTGCTGCCATTATTAGCTATTCTTCAAAATCCCCAGAGAGAAAATTAGCACTATATTATAGCCAATAAATGCTTTTTGTAGACACACCGAAGCAACAGCAGCACGGGGGGTCGATTCTAAACACAAGTTAAATCTAGAACTGTTTCACAAATTGAGTGGCTCTTTGTGCTGTGCGTCAATGGGCCAGACAGCCCCCACGGCCCTTGGCTCTCTGAGATTCTGTATGTCTAAGCAGCAGGATCCCACGGTGCTGTGTGAAGACCCCCATCAGGCAGTCTGCACTCCTGCCTGCTCTCCCTCCAGGCCCAGAAACCTAGCAACAGCTGAGCAGGAAAGAGACAGATTCAGCTTGAAGTTTGTACTCATGAAATATTTACTATTACTTCCCCTCTGTGGCGTACTTTCTTCAACCAAAATGAGTTTTCTTCACCTATATTCTTTCTAAAATATGTTTATTCTGTTACAAAACAGCAACAAGATCAATCTGTATAGCAAAGTTACCTGAATACTTTATTGCTTTGGTTTGAGGTTTGTTTTTAGGGTTCTGTTTTGGTCAGGATCCAGGGTAAAAATAAATGATGCTCAAGCTGAGTCACAAAGGTGTGGGCAGGATGTGGAGAAGGCAGCAATGGAATGTGGTCTCCAGGCTAGCATCCTTGCAACCACTGCGACCCCTGGGCCTAAAGGATCAAGACGAGGAAGTAAGGGTCTCTATGCGCCAAGGGTCAGCTGGTGGCTGTTTTCTTCATAGGAAGATGAACAGACACAGAATAGTCAACGCGGGGGTGTGAGGAAGAAGAGAGTGAGGCGATCAGTGACTATGTGCCCCAACCTCACCCTCCTCTTCCTGTCTGGTCTGCTCCTGGTACTTCCATTGGGCAAACCCACCTGGAGAACAAAGGTTTTGGAACTCTGCATACTGTGCCCACTGGAAAGTTGCACAGATAGGGCACCATAGAAGCTGGAGAAAGCTGGTGAGCACATTCGGAGGTAGAAAAGGAAGATAAGATGCCCAATACACCAAGTACTTTATTAGTGAAAGTCACTCAGCTTGTCCGACTCTTTGTGACCCCATGGGCTATAGCTCGCCAGGCTTCTCTATCCATGAAATTCTCCAGGCAAGAATACTGCAGCAGGTTGCCATTTCCTTCTTCAGGGATCTTCCCAATCCAGGGATCAAACCCAGGCGTTCTGTACTGCAGGCAGATTCTTTACCACTTGAGCCACCAGGGAAGCCCAAGTACTTCATTATTTTGAATCAAAAGAAAATTCATAAGCACAAATTCAAATAGAGAAATGAAGAGAGTAAAAATAAAAGTCCTTCTCTGAACACCAATTCTACTCCCCAAGGATACAGCTTCATGTGGTTCCATCCAAAGAAACAAACAAAATTAATCTTATTTGAACTTGAGCACATGCTGAAACCTCCCCTTTTAACACCAAATCATTATAAGCATTTTTTAAAAGATACCTACATTTTTACAAGAAATTAATAAATACATTGGGATTTGTGAAAAACAGAATAAGGACTTTTGGTGAACCCAGAAATTGTCCAGAAGGACCATATTTCTGGAAAAGAGAGCACAGGGAAGCCACAGCCCTGTCAAGAAAATGCAGAGGTTGCAGAGGAAAGTGTCAACCCCAGAAATGAGCACTGCAGAAGGGACTTTTCATCAGCAACCCTGGTGCCATGAGATCCGAAAACAAAAATCTAAAAATTCTTTAGGAAAATAATATCTAGCCAAACTATGAATTTGTGAAAGAAGAAAAACCAACTAAAAGCTGTTAGCTTAAGCCTTTATTAACCATCACAACAGGCTCAAGAGGGCTGCCGGAGAGCAGATAGCCCAAAGAATTCACATATTAGATTGATGAAGGTCAGTCAGAGTTCCACTATTTGTAGAACTATTGTCAGAACAATCCTGAGAATTGTTCAGTGTTCTGATTCTCAGAAGGTGTGGGGAACTTAGACTGCTGCATTAGTCACAGGACAGGATTCAGAGTCTGCATTTAATAAGACCTATCTAACACTAAAGACATCACCAAGAAACTGTTAGAACTAATAAACAAATTCAGTAAAGCTGCAGTAATTTTGAAGAGTACAAAATTAACATATAAAAGTCATCTTGTGATTCTATATACTGGAAACTAATTAGCTGACAATGAAATAAAGAAAAGAATCCTATTTATAATAGTGTCAAAAACAATTAAATAGGAATAAATTTAATCAAGTGAGTGAAAATCTGAACACTGAAAATCATAAGACATTGGTGGAAAAAAATTGAAGAAGACACAAATGGGGAAAGATTCTGTGTTCATGGATTGGAATAATTAATATTATTAAAATGTCCATACTACCCAAAGTGATCTACACATTCTATGTAGTCCCTATCAAAATTCCAATGGCCTTTTTCACAGAAATAGGAAAACAATCCTGAAATGTGTATGGAACCACAGAAGACCCCAAATATCCAAAGAAATTTGGAGAAAGAAGAAAAAAACTGAAGGTATTACACTTCCTGGTTTCCAACTATATTACAAAACTACAGTATATCAAAATAACATGACACTGGCACAAAAAAGATTTAGAGACCAAAGGAACAGAATCAAGAGCCCAGAAATAAATCCACACACACAGTCAACTAATATTTGACAAGGAAGCCAAGCATACTCAATGGGGAAAGGATACTCTCTTCAATAAATAGTGCTGGGAAAACTGAATATTCACATGCAAAAAAAAAAAAAAGAAAAGAAATTGGACACCTATCTTTCACCTCTCACAAAAAGTAACTTGCAATGGATTAAAAACTAAATGTAAGACCTTCAACCACAAAACTTCTAGAAGAAAACACAGGGAAAATCTCCTTGATGTTGGTCTTGGCAATAATATTTTGGGATATGATGCAATAATATTTTGGGATATGATACCAAAATCA